TTATAGTGACAGAGAGATTAGAGTGTCATATGAGTGTGATGTCATGGTAACCAATGACGCCTCAGTGGTCTGCAAGATATCAAAAGCTGCAATTTCACTGTAGCCATATTTCCTGGCAGATATCACCTGATCTCCACAGTGATTCGCTCTATGATAATATGAGAATGCAACTGTCACGGTCTCCATCTCATATATTTACCAAGTGATTCACTGTATCTAATGTAACTGTCACTCTCTCATCTCATACACATCATCCCTGGAGTTTTACTATTACTGAAGCTGATCACACTCTCACAAATAATTACTATTACCTCCAGTGATACACCATGTGGTAAAATAACTGTAAGCATTAAAATCACATACTTTCCCCAGTGTATTTTCAAATACCCCCCAAATCAGCCCAAATATCACGTGACTTGGTTTCAGCTGACTGACCACCTTCTCTACTGGACTTTCAGCTGTCTACAGGAGGGACATGGGATGGACTTGTCTTGTAGTGCTCCAGGTTGTGCTTCAGTGTACTTCACCAGACAGGACTTGCAGAATGTGTGATTAAACTGACGTGTGGCAGGGTCTGTGAATATCTCTGTACAAATGAGGTGAGGTTAATGTCTTCCAACTTCTCAGCAGCCGCCATGTCTAACGAGAAGAAATCATAACATCAAGCTTTGGCTTCAGTGAGAGAGTGAGGGGCGTGGAGGGAAGAAAGATTCCGGGACATGTACGTGTTCAACTCTACTGTTCCCTTTACATAATGAAGTGAGTGAGTGAGTATGGTTTTACGCCGCTTTTTTAGCAATATTCCAGCAATATCACGGCGGGGGACACAAGAAATGGGCTTCACACATTGTACCCATGTCGGGAATCGAACCCGGGTCTTCGGCGTGAGGAGCGAACGCTTTAACCACTAGGTTACCCGACCGCCCTACATAATGAAGTAGTAAGAATGGCAACACGGGAGATTTAATTGTATCTAATGGCCCGGTGTTGCCTGTCATTACTCGTGTAAGTAGAAGACTGTGTTCATTGTATCATCATTGTTCCTCACAGTGACTTGTAGTTTCAATGGCATACAAACAGATAACATTTTGCAGATAGTATGGACCGATAAAGGTTAATAAACGTTACAGTAAATATTAATTGTGAGTGAGTGCGTGAGTATTTTTTACGCCGCTTTTAGCAATATTCCAGCAATATCACGGCGGGGGACACCAGAAAATGGCTTCACACATTGTACCCATGTCGGGAATCGAACCCGGGTCTTCGGCGTGACGAGCGAACGCTTTAACCACTAGGCTACCCGACCGCCCCTCATATCACTAAAGGGCGGTCGGGTAGCCTAGTGGTTAAAGCGTTCGCTCGTCACGCCGAAGACCCGGGTTCGATTCCCGACATGGGTACAATGTGTGAAGCCCATTTCTGGTGTCCCCCGCCCTGATATTGCTGGAATATTGCTAAAAGCGGCGTAAAAACCATACTCACTCACTCATATCACTAAAATATATTAACACTAACCTGAATATGAAACAAACTTTTAACATTTGATACCCCTTTTCCTCACATTATACATATCACCATTTGAATGTGAGTCTCACAATCATCACGTAACCCGCGGACATTCTGAGTTAAAATGGGTCCCCAGCAGCCTCAAAGGTTGTTTGAAAGAGGTGGGTAATTAGATGCCATCGTATCCCAATTGCGTAGATCGATGCTTATGATGTCAATCGCTGTATTGTCTGGTCCAGACGCGATTATTTATAAACCGACGTAATATTGCTGGGTGCTGGGCGCCACGTTAAACAACAACGACAACAAACAAACAAAACAGCAGTGTAACTGCTTGGAGTTATGCAATATGACATGGTGAAATACCGATAAAGGGACATAACTCTGATAACACTATGCCAATGTTTGCAGCACTGTAAACAATACATTTCCCACTTCGTATGAACTACACATTACACAGTACAATAAATCATGCCAAATTCGAATTCTATTTGCAATGCTCAATTTTATAACACATGCAAAATACTCGTTTCCTGCTGAAATACATTGACTACAGGCAGGCAGGCAAATGTATTCGGTACTTCAGGCCACCGGCCCATAATACAATGGAAATATACTGTATATATATTTGCATGCTGAGTAGATTTAATAATGATTTACCGTTCCACACTGTGTTTCCTTTCGATGTTCATGACTTGGGAGAGAAATTTACCTAAGCCTTTTTTAGTTTGTTCGTTTTCAGCTGACATAAGTCTTATAAAATTCTCAATAGAGGGAGGGGTAACGAGACGCTAGGGAAAAGAGGTTCTTCTTGCTCTAGAATACTGGTCACAAATCATAAGAACATGGAATTCATCTTCTACATGGTTATGTCCCTTTGAAAAACAGAAAGTGCAGACACGTTCATTATATGGGATGTTGTTGTGAAGCCCCAGTTCGAAAGCAAGTCTGAAATTATTACATCGGAACATGGCTATAAGTCTACCGTGGTAAGAAGACATAACAAGTAATATATGATTCCACATTTAGTAATGATTGACTACAAACTTTACATAACACGGTTTAGACAGGACTTGTGACCATAGCTCTGTATAAGTTTAACCTATGTTGAACTAAATACATAACTGACAAATAAACACTGATCTTTAATTAAGGAACATCGCCTTTTTAAGAATAACTAAATACGTGCTTCAACTGTAGATGACAATGTCACAAATGATGATTATTTCCGCCAGTGACCCCTTGGGTAGACAGTGACCTCCTGGTTGTGGTCACCTGTCCCTGATGATCACGTGATACAAAGTTGCTATGCGAGGAGGAGGTGGTGTGTGATCACCTGACGCATGAAATCTGACGTTAACAGCTGGGATCTGTCAACAGTGTTGTCACCCATCGATACTGCATCTATATTGAATATATACATAGTTATACAACTAAACATATCTATATGAGGTTATTTGGTGTTGTTTGGGGTGTGTCTGTGTGCTCACGTAACGCATGAAATCTGACGTTAACAGCTGGGATCTGTCAACAGTGTTCTCACCCAGCATAACTGTATCTATATTGAGTGAGTGAGTGAGTATGGTTTTACGCCGCTTTTAGCAATATTCCAGCAATATCACGGCGGGGGACACCAGAAATGGGCTTCACACATTGTACCCATGTCGGGAATCGAACCCGGGTCTTCGGCGTGACGAGCGAACGCTTTTTAACCACTAGGCTACCCGACCGCCCCGTATCTATATTGAAATTATACATAGTTGTACAACTAAACTGATCTACATGAGGTTATTTGAAATTATTTATGGGTGTGGGAGTGGGAGTGGGAGTGGGTGTGGGTGTGGGTGTGGGTGTGGGTGTGGGTGTGGGTGTGATCACTTGACGCATGGAATCTGATTGGGATTCATCATCATTATCCATGTTATTCACTGCTTGTTAGTTTATTTCAATAACAGAAAGCACACATTTGGGGAATGGAAGTCGGTCTTTTGTGTGACAAGCAGTAGCTCTAAGTGAAGATAACATTGTACAATGATGACCATGTTTGATATGACTTATGTTAGGTTTCTTCATTTCACAAGTTGTGGGGTACAAATAACCGCCTCTGTTGACAAGAGGATGGAGCGTCTGCCCCGAGTAGGGTGGTTCGATCATCTGGCACTCGGCATTCAGGGGATAACACAAGGTCTGGTCTGATGTAAAACCCAGTTTCACCTCTTCAGTGTTCGCTCCGGCTGAGCTTATAGTATCCAGTGCTAATTAGCATCATACTTTATAAGAACGTTACTTTTTCGATACGATGTATTTGTGACAATACACTATGTAAGCAGAGGCAGTAGTGAGTGAGTGAGTGAGTTTGGATTTACGCCGCTTTTAGCAATATTCCAGCGATATCACGGCGGGGGACACCAGAAATGGGCTTCACACATTGTACCTATGTCGGGATTCGAACCCGGGTCCTCGGTGTGACGAGCAAACGCTTTAACCACTAGGCTACCAGACCGCCCAGAGGCAGTAGTGATGTCGGACATTATCGATCGAATACCTAGTTTACGATTTCGCAGCTAGGCCTGATTCCTGTCACTTGAAACTGAATAGTGAGTGAGTGAGTTGGGTTTAACGCCGTTTTTTAACAGTATTCCAGTTATATCACGGCGTGTCAGCTTAATGTGGGAGGAAAGCCCGAAGTGATGCAGGTCTCAGAGAAACCCACGAGCAGGGATATGGTGCTGACAAACCTAGAAACATAATCGGGACGAACCGGGATTCGAACCCACAATCATAAGTTTCTGGCGCCCTAAAGGGACACAACTCGGTAGAGCGAATCGCGGCGCCTTAAACGACTGGGCCACCCGTGCCCCCCAGAACCTGAATAAATGTGTATGTAGATACAGGTGGTGCCATAACTTCATAATATGTTTGTGCTGCAAAGTTTGGAAAACCAAACCTGTATTTGTCTGTATTGTCTTACGTGTCGACTGCAGATGGTCCGTTTCTTATTTGCTGGCTTCAGAGTGTCCCCTGTCGCCGTCGTTGAACTGCGGGTTCAAAGTGCTCTCTGATTTGTCGAGGAGATCTTACTTGTAACACTGTTGGAATGCGCAAAACTCAGTCTAACAAACGGACTCAAGACAAAACGGCCCCAAACACTTGCAAAAACGGCCCAATATCATAACTGTATAACAATATTAAAATAAATTATGAATGAGTGAGTGAGTTGGGTTTTACTCGCTGAAAACAACGAGCACGGGTACCTGGTGCTGACAAACCAAGAAACATAATCGAGACAAACCGAGATCAAAGGTTTCAGGCGTGCCCAAGGGACGCAACTACGAATTACGGCGCCTTTGACGACTAGGCCCACGTCCCCTAACTAACCGGCTATACCTTCTCACTGACTGGATATATATATATATATATATATATATATATATATATATATATATATATATATATATATATATACGTGTCAGCTCGTACTTACGTAGAATAATAAGCCCATAAGATCACATGACCTAAGGACAAAATAATAGCAATGATTTATGTTCAACAGCTATGACTTTGTGACAAGGAAGTGACATGAGTGGTGTCACCAGACTTTGAGGCGCTATAGGACGTTGGTGCACACGAATGTTATCCCTTACGTATTCCTGAGCACTGAGTTCCGGATTCTCGGCTGGCCAAGTCAGCACCAGCGTGCTCCCATTCCTTAAAGCAACCACTGGTACACCAGCTGTGCGTGGGCCTGATGGAATTCAAACCAACGACTAATCCTATGCATCTAGTATATGAGGTGCTGCGGGGTTGTGGTGGGCACGACGTTCAAATTCATCCTACATATGATCCATGAAGCTGAGATCCGAACTTTTAGTTGGCTAAGGCAGTACCCAGGTACGATAAAGAACCCCTTGCCACACAACGGATGAGGTCTGTCCTGTGGCTGTAGGTGGTGCCATCCATACTAATCCACCAGCATAAAGGTTTCACTGTCTATGCTACATTGCTGGTTTGACTCAGCAATTTGTAAAATCGAGAATCATCCCGATTCGCCAATGCACATGAAGCCGTACCCACTATGTTCTTCAACGTAGGCATTTTGGGGTAAGAATTAATCCCCACCAACCTATGATTGTTGTGAGAAGCGACATATTGGATCGGGTGGTCAGGCTCGGTGACATGGTGGACTGCTTCTCATGGTTCCGAACTGCGTGGATCAATACACATTATGTAAATCGTTGAATACTCGTCTGGTTCAGACTTGATTACTGGTATTTACAAAGGACAGCCATCATATAGCTGGAATCACTTGCTGACCGCAACATTAAATGTTTGTCATCTGCAGTTATCTTGATGCTAATCACTGTCCGATGACGTTTTCATCCTGTAGCTTGCAAACACGATTGCCAACTTTTCACCACTTAATCACCTGCAGGTGATTGTCCTAAACTCAACTCCTTCATTGATCAGAGTTTCTGTTACAAGAGGCGTCATGACATCTATGGTTTCAACATCATCACACTTCCTATGTTTGATACTGCAGCATACAGTACAAATTGCCATCCTGCAATCTTTACAAAACAGTTTTACTTTTTCGTCTTTGTGAATTCTGCACATAAAGCTTGATGCCTTTGGTTTCCTGTTACTATGGGTACGTACATCGATCACTTCATGATCACGCAACAGCGGCATCTTCTTGTGCATCTTGAGACATCCATCACAGAAGACATCATCACAAATGGTGCAGTACATTGTTCCTGGAGTTTTCTCCCCATCTTCTTTGCAAACGCTACAAGCCTCAAGATCTGAACATAAAGCACGGAGTCTTACAAATAATGCAATTGCCAGAAAACATACTCACTTACTATTACTATTAGACATTCATTTTGTATATATACTATGTATAGTTGCAAGATTATTCAATCCAACACTTATATAGAAAATTGCATTTTATATCAGTGACAGGACATTAAACCGTTTCATTATTTCCTACCTGGCGATGCCTCTAAAATGTCCATCAGCCCCTGTATTACTCGGCGTGGTTTGAGCTGGCTCATCCACTCCTCTACTGGACTGTCAGGGATGGTAACCTTCGTCAGATGTCCACAGGGGGGACATGGGACGAACTTGGTTTGAATTGCTCCCCAGAGGCCTTACAGAATGTATGTGGTAGGATGGACCATTGAACATCTCTGCGGACAAAAACACAGGTCAGGTGGTTGTCTGTTAACTTCTTAGTGGTGGTAATTTCTAATGAAAAGACATCATATGATTAAGTTTTGGTTTCAATACGAGTTTGTCACATTAAACTTTGTTGATGAGAAAATAAACCCTTATTTATTCTCTTTTCTATGCTCTACTTAAGTATCTGTTAATTCTGACTTTTGATACTTAGGAACCACCATGTTTAAAGTTTCATGCTTGCTGTGATCATACCAAAAGAACATCACATCATGTTGTCAACGTGTGACCTTACCTCAGTGAGTGACACCGTTCCTCGTCTGTATTAACAACCCAATCTAATTTTGCATGCTGCTTAAAGCGTCTGTCTGTCTGTCTATCTATCTGTCTTTCTGTGAATACATAAAAAAACACAGTTTCATTTTTGTCTCTTGCAGAACACAATACGTCAGTTACAATATGTCAGTGTATTTTGTGCAATATATCATTGCCTCTTGCTGTCATTGGTACTAAATAATTGTGTTGCTGAAATGCTGGATTTAATATATCAACTGAAAGAAAGCACCTGATTATATTTTCAGACATGCTTATACGTAGAGCATTTTACATTTAAATACATATACGAGTTCTTGTGTCCTATGTGATGTTATGTGGAACAAATAAAGGGACATAACTCTAATATTGATCTGCTAAGTCCGCGACCCCAGTAATAACACTACATGCACCGCCACTGCATACATTGTATCTCTGTTCAAGTGGTTTTAGGGTACACAGCAATGCCAAACATACAACAATGTTGTTTATATGTTTTGACAAGACCTGATAAACGGCCAGGCAAAAGAAAATTTACATATGAAAAACAATGGATTATAAGAATGTTAATAGGCTGAAAACAGACGACTAAACACTGCAAACTTAAGGTCGAAAACACAACTGTGACACCCGTATCAAACAAATCACCATCGAATAATTCTTTCTTGTTTGTTTCCCGTTTAGCCGTCATCAAACATTAGTGCATGCTTGCCCTGCAGTTTAATATATTTCACATGTCACACTTACTTCAACATTCAAGTCACGGCTTATGAAGTGCAATTTGCCTTGATGTGGACTATATCACAAATCTATAAAATTCTCATCACGATTCATTGTAGGGTAGATTGAATGCGAAATAAAAAATATTTAAGATATTTTTCGACAGTGATCTCGCGTTTTACCTTTACAGATACTGCAACCTTGGTGAGCACACGGGGTATACAGGGACTCACTTCCTGGTTGAGCCCACCCAACACTGATCATGATCACGCAACACGGAGTTGCTGTAGGGGAAGAGGTATGTGATCACGTGACACATGTAACCTGACGTTATCAGTTTAGAGCTGTCAATAGCGTTGTCACCCTACGGTAGATTATTTATATTGAAATTCCACAAAGATTTATTGCTGTGACCTCGGCCTGATATGGCTGAAATATTGCCGATGTGACGTTAAACTTTAACTCAGTCACTCACTATTGTAACCTGTAATTGAAATGTATGTCAAAACTAAAACAAGTGTCTAGATAAACATAAATCTTTAATGAACATCTCCGCCTTAAGAACGACTAAGCGATTGTGAATGCATAGATGCTAAAACGTTGAATGTAGGAGTTTAAAACTATGATCTACAATGTGCGTTTAAGCTGTATCTAAATGACAGTTAAACATAGGATAACAAATGCGAAAGTTGACACAAATGATCTCATGTGAGCCCAGATATAAAGTAAATCAATGCTATAAAAATTGTAGATACTTTGATAGGGGGCCTTTAAAGTAAAACAGACGAAAGGTGTAGATTATGTGGATGCTCCAGAGGAAGGGGTGGGTTGGATGGGGTGGTCTGGGGGTAGTCAAACTGCATACAAATGGATTATTATTTGAGTATGTTGTTGTTGCTATGATATAGCCCTAATATCCTTATTGTAAACCCAATCACTCACTCGCTCGAGTTTCTCTGTCAAACAGATGTAAATGGTGGAGTGATCAGCATCTCGCGATACGGGAAATGAGTACTGAGTGGGTATGCTAAGTTCAATTAACTTGTAAGTCACCAGTAGTATCAAGGAACCACTTTATTGACAAGAGGATACAGTAAAATTATTAATTTTCTAAAAAGAGCAAGATAGACCGGATCCTTGAACAACTTCCACTCATGTTAAGCCACATGATACATAAACCTGATCACCCATTCTAAATGTGTTAACAAACTGTTTTCAGGGAATATTTTAAAGGAAGTGCATAGCGTAAGATCAACCCAGGAATATTTCGGTCCCGAAGAGACGCAAATGCCGAGAGATATTGGTATGGCGAATATGGGCGCTTCGCAGGGCCAACATTTCACGTCCATCCGATGACAGTGGCAGGACTCATGCATCGGTACAACCAGGGAGGACACACCGGGGACAGGCCAAGGAGTGGTAGACCATGTGTCATGATCCCCCGAGATGACCGCTATCTGTGACCTTTGTATCTTCGCAACCGTTTTCATGACGGTGAGTTTTAGGTCGCAGCATCAGCCAATACACTGTGACAAGAAGACAACGTGCTGCTGGGATTCGGGCCTACAGACCTTACGGTGGCATGACCCCGACCCAGTCGATGGCAGCGACGTGATTGGCAGACGATGCTCGTCAATGATGAGTTAGATCCACCTGTTCAATGCAGATGGAAGAATCCGGGCGAACCGACGAAGAGGAGAGAGATAAGCTACAGGATACGTCCAGGAGGAACAGTCCTTTAGTAGGGGAAGCATTATGGTCTGGGGAGATATGCAGTGATATGAAAACATGTCTTGTTATCCATGGAAACCCAAATGCCCAGAGCTACAGGGATGAAATCCTTCAACCTGTTCTCACCCCCCTTCTCCGCCAGCAGTTTCAGGGTGTTTGTTCCAGCAATATCATGCTAAGACCATACTGCCCTTCTGACGCAAGATTCCTGGTAATCACGATCTTGGATCCTGACCGGTTTTGCCTTGGCCAGCCCACTCGCCGGATCCATCGTCAACTGAACACCACTTGGATCCCTTTGACAGGCAGGTCGGAGAATAGCTCCAGCATCCCACAGCTCTGATTGAGCTTGAACGTGTCCCAGTGGTAAATAGAAGCCAGATCCAAAATGACAAATGTCAGCAATGAGACGGTGGATGTTTGCCTATCCACTCTTGGATTAATGAACTCGCTAGATTATTTCACATGTAAATTCACTTTATGACCCCTCAGTTGTTTACATGCCTTGGACGTTTCTGTATGTAACGTCATCTTGGTTGTTTTCTTTATCACGTTCTCACACAATATTTAGATTATTGTTCAAATATATTGTACATTGTTACCATACGTGTTTTGATTCATTTTCTTACCATTTTAGATGATACTTGGTTTCTTTTGTTCGTCATTTTATATATGTAGTGGTTCCCGGGTTTGATCCCCCAAATTGGTACACTGTGTTTAGCCCATTTCTGTTGTCCCTACCCGTGACATTGCTGGAATATTGCTAAAAACGCCGTAAAACCACACTCACTCTTTGATAACAGAGATACATTAAATGGAAGGGAACAATGAACTTTTCTTGAAAAATAAATTCCCCAATATATACCGTTTTGATACTTAAATCTGGCCAAGAATCGGCATTCAATATATTATAATTTCATACTTTGACGTTAACACTGTTTCTTTCATGCTGACTGGCTGAAGGGGTAGTCACGTGATCTGATATTTGGAGTTCACACATCTGTGAAAGGACAAAAAAAAAGTTCACACGATGTGAACATTTTTGTGTGAAATTGATCGTGTGAACTTTTGCCGGAACTACGAGGGCCATTCAATCTATAACCAGCCTAAGCTATTTATCAGATCTTAACGGTTGCATGTTTGTCACGTGCTGTGCACCAATGTATGTCACGTGCATAGACAATGTTTCACTGAGGAAATTGTATTTGAAGTCACACACGTGATCTATAAAGATGGCAAGGGTAGATTCTGCCAAATTTTCGTCAACGGTTGAATACAGGGCTGTTATTAGGTGCCTCTACTTAAAAGGGAAACCGGGAAAGGAGATACATGATGAATTGTCAGATGTTTATGGTGACGGTGCACCTTCGTATGCACAGGTCAAATTCTGGGTTGCAGACTTTAAGAGGAGTCGGGTGAACCTGGAAGATGAGCCACGCCCTGGCAGGCCTGTAGAGGTGACCAATGACCAAACCAGTGAAGCTGTGAGACAACTGGTTGTCAAAGACAGGCGAATGAAGGGGTCAGAAATGGCCAAGGCCTTGGACATTTCAGAGGGAAGTGTCCATACCATTTTGCATGATCGTCTGGGTATGAGGAAGCTGTCTGCCCGATGGGTCCCGAAATGTCTGAGTGATGATCAGAAGGCTGTACGTGCGTCAATGTGTCAGGCACTTTTGACGCAATACAGTCGGGATGCAGACAACTTTATGGAGAGAATTGTTACTGGTGATGAAACCTGGGTACACCACTATGACCTAGAAACCAAAGAACAGAGTAAGCAGTGGACTGGCTTTGCTTCACCCCGTCCCAAAAAGTTTAAGACTCAACCATCGGCTGGCAAAGTCATGGCAACCATCTTTTGGGATACCAAAGGGGTCTTGCTCATTGACTACTTGCCACGTGGCCAGACTATTACTGGAGAGTACTACTCCGATCTCCTGGACCGTTTGCGGACTGTTATTCTTGCCAAACGTCGTGGAAAGATCACAAAAGGTGTGCTGCTCCAACATGATAATGCCAAGAAGAAGAAAGAACTGCGTGGACGTCATTTCCGGTCCGTGGATGAACTCACGACAGCAGTGGAGGGGTGGTTACACGAACAACCCCATGGTTTCTGTCACAACGGGCTTTTAGCTCTCACAAATCGCTGGACAAAGTGCATAGACCTCAATGGTGATTATGTGGAAAAAGAAGAAGTGAGGAGCAGTAGCAAATAGGTTTTGCTGGTTATATATTGAATGGCCCTCGTACTTTCCGGGGGTTCCCCGAATTCTCGATCTGTGTTTACGATCAACTCGTTTTTCTATTTTCTTTTTAATACCTGCATTTATCAGCAATATGATTAATTTAGTATTTTTGCCTGGTCTTGCAACATTTCATTTGACTTATAAATAAATAAATGCTTTGGTTCTGGTGATTGATGTCGTCTAGCTGGTTGATGAAACAAAATGGATTGTCCTTGCGGTGATTTGGATATGGAATGGCTATCTTTCAATACTAATTACGCAAGTGAAGAAAATTAATTCTGTAAAATTACTGAGGTGAACGAAATTGATTTATTGAGCGATATTGACTTTGATGCCTTGTTTTCGGAAATGGCAGAAATCTAGCACAAATGAAAACAATGTCGTTCCCTGCTCAGATGTGGCCGCTGACACAGAGCAAACGCGATTGCTCCTGATCAATCCCAAACTAAAATCCGATTTACTATCGTATCGCGGAAAGAGATCTAAGATTTTGAGAAACCATAAAACATAAAAAAGGTAAGGAAAGGAACTCAAATTTAAAACAAAAACAAACTTGCCTACCTGTTTTATCGATTGGTCATCGGAGATGAGAAAATATCCGTAGACGCAATTAGAAATCTACTATTCCGGTTTCTGAGTTGGCCGACCTTCTCCGTGCATTCTCGGCCGAGAAGCAGCGGCACATGAGGAGTGACGGGGCGCAGTAATGAAGCTGGCATCAGGTCATACAGTAGGTCCATCTCAGGTGACAAGAAACACCAGCTAAGCAAAGTGTTACATCACACACGACAAATCCCAAACTCCAAATATAACACACCCTGACGTTGAAAATTAACACAAAACACACGTTTCAGAGCACTCGGTTCAATCCCCACCAGTCCATTCCGCATCGTCCGAATCGGTTTGCGATTATCCAAACACAAGCCACACATTAATAATCGGGGATATTCCCAATTTGCTCGTGCCATTAGAGGGTTCACTGGTCGCGGTGTTTTCCATAACTGCTCCATCAACGTCATTTTCAACAGCAGAAAGTATAAATTTCATCCTCATGTTCCCGTTCGACTCGAAATGCACCTCTTTACAAACTTATGTGACGTCATATATAAATCCGGTTGATCGGTGCATCGAGGTCATGTTTATATTTTTGTTCAACTTCATGTAACCTATTTTTAAGCTTTGATTTATCCCAAATATTGTTTGTAAATTTGTTCAGAGAATGAAATTATGTTGACATATTTCTAGATTATGACAACGGTTTCTACCTAGTATTACGCCTTACTTTGACGTTTGGGCGGTCGGGTAGCCACGTGGTTATAGTGTTCGCTCGCCACGCCGAAGACCCGGGTTCGATTCCCGACATGGGTACAATGTGTGAAGCCCATTTCTGGTGTCTCCCGCCGTGATATTGCTGGAATATTGCTAAAATCGGCGTAAAACTATACTCACTCACTCACTACTTTGACATTATGTAAACGGGTGCAAATTTCAAATAATAAAGATGGATTGTAAAACGAAATCGGTTTTATCGTGACCATGTGTATATTGGCCAGAGAGGTTATGACATTTTCTGTTACAATATGCAAACAAGTATTCAAGGTTAATACCCACATGATACCAAAAGAATCAAAGCCAATTATTTGTTTCCAGAATGACAAGGAACAAATAAATTCAGCCATCAAGGTAAACGTCCATTATACTCCTTTAGCACATAGTTTCTCCCCACACAATATACCTGTGTATGTATCCGACATGAATGAAGACGCTACACCTTAAGCAGCGATGTCTGATGTCAGCTGTTATATATCAAAGTAGTGTGTAGAAATAGACACAGCGTTTAACGTATCATTTGTAAACACTTCATTAACCCTTTGTATATAAAAGCGACAAAATTAATTCATACTCATAATGATCAGTCCACGGTTCGGAAACACTTTCGACCGCCTCCGTGGTCTAGTAGAAGAGTGTCCGCCCGGAGAGAGGAAGGTTCGGGGTACGACCTCCGGATGTGTCATACCAAAAGACGTCAAAAGATGGTACTTCTTGTTGCCCTGCCTGGCGCTCTACATTGAGAGGCTACAATAAGGACTGGTTGGCTCGGAGTCAGCATACTGTGTCTGAGTGGGGCATTCATGTGAACCTATAAACTCGGCGTGAATTCAGACTAGTACAAGCACACAGAGAGAGACACACAGAGAGAGGGAGAGAGAGAGAGAGAGAGAGAGAGAGAGAGAGAGAGAGAGAGAGAGAGAGAGAGAGAGAGAGAGAGTGTGTTGCATGCACGTCGCTATTTAAGTGCAATAATCTTGAACTCGACGTTGAACCCCATTTCACCTGGCCGCAACTCATAAACACTTTCACACTGATTGACACTGATACTGACATATCAGCTGTTAATGCACAGACGTTGAATTAATACTGACTAGACCAACACAGTGCCGATATGGTTACATCATGAATGTGTGTGCGTAAAATATGCTTAGGAAGAAGGAAGACAGCTTGGAATAATAGAACAAAGAAACTACGCTGTTATATGGACGTCGCTTTATCAGTGCAATAATCTTGGACGCGACGCTAAACCCAATTTCACCTCACCTCGTGCTTTCCTCCGGCATCAAACTGATTCACCATGATATAACTGATATAATGTTCAAAGAGGCGTTAAAATCAATTCACTCACTAACTCTGTTCCTCAACTGGACAGTAATCTCTGCCACTACTGATTACAGATAATGTATACATTTGAAGATGCTTATTGCATTTTTTATTGAATTGATTTTCACGCTTCGTCCAATGACCACCACAAACGACGACTTCCTGTTTGCAGTGGTAGTTAGTAGTCACACGGGAATTGATCAAGTGTAAATGAGTAAACTAAACACACGAAAAGGACAAATACGTGCATGTTGTTAATCAAATGCAGAAATATATCTTTCTGAGTCCACCTAAATAAACACAGGCGTCGCAATAAATTTATAAACTTATATCTCAGACATTTTAAATAACAAGGAAAGACAGGATTGAAAAAAAACCATTAAACATTTTAAATTAGGTATAAATGGTTTGTTTATTTACAAGTAGTTCCATCATACTCACATGTCACTGAATTGATTGATTAATTGTCATTAATACCGAAAGTTACAAATGCAAACAACAAAGTTCATGTATTCCAAGTCATGGCCATGTCATTCGAAATTCATGTAAATGTTGATAAATTTCTATTTGAACTATAAGCACTGGCATTAAAGGTAATTTCTGACAACTTATAGTGGGAGCGATACATGCAGAAGCCATCTGAACTGACGAGCAATAGAAACCTAGTATATACTTCTACATGTTTTTTTGGTGTTAGATATAATTTGATTTAAAACTTTTAAAATAAAATTAAAAATTGAAAAATGAAATCGCATAATACACAAGAGGTTATGAGTATCTCGAACATCTCATCTTTGAAAAACAATAAATTTGTTTACAACATTTCAAACATGATAGGGGCCATGTGGTTGCAAATTCATTTCTTGCGTCAGTCTTCACTGAATTTGTTTACACAAATTTACCCAGCAACAGATGACGTTTTACACACTTTTGCAGGAATGAGTGATGGCTGAAGAGCAATGCTCAAACTTAACAACAGTTCTTTACATTTTCAATTACAAAAAAACCCGATCGGTATACCTTCCTTTGTCCCTCTGATTATTATTCATCCCAGCTAAGCGTACACCAAAGTTATTTCACTTTATGTTGCGCAATGTCTATACGTAAAGTATTTCCGTTTATAATCAATTAACTGGGCTTTTGACAGATAATCAATGCGAATAATGTTATACACCCTTAATTCATTCTATAAAATAAGGTGATAAATCGAGACATAATGTTATTGATAATCACAGTGGATGAATATTTACCTCTTGGATTCTACGACGAGTAACGAAACGTTCAACTCTAAAGAATCAGGGTAGAGTTATTCTTGACCGCGATCGAGACATTTTGCCATTCGATCCCCCTTTTGTAATCTTTCCTGATAAACAAGGGAACACGATACTGCCCCTCAGTTTTTAGTAATAAACCCAAAAGTGTTTCCTGTGTAGTGTATGTAATGACTTTATACTCACGCTCTTGGACATACATATATGTTTATCATGCAAGATTAAAAGACAACCCACTTTTCCGAGATCACAGTGTAAATATAACTATTCGTCTCTGTAACAAAGTATACCGCGTTGACGCTTTTTGCTCTCAATTCTACAAAATAACATATTTTCCGCCATCATTACAACCATTTCACCTCTTTCATGTGTGATTTTGTCTTCCAAATGCGAACCACTGGACTGATTGAATAACTATCGCAGGAGTAAGGTGAGGTGAAATTGGGTTTGGTGAGTGAGTGAGTATGGTTTTACGCCGCTTTTAGCAATATTCCAGCAATATCACGGCGGGGGTCACCAGAAATGGGCTTCACACATTGTACCCATGTCGGGAATCGAACCCGGGTCTTCGGCGTGACGAGCGAACGCTTTAACGCTTTAACCACTAGGCTACCCGACCGCCCGGGTTTAACGTCGCGTCCAAGATTATTGCAATATAGCGACGTGCATGCACGTATGTGTGTGTCTGATTTTACTTGTCTGGACTGATGCCGATTTATAGTGATAGCTCGCTGAGATACCATGCCGCAGTTTAACATGAAGACTCCACACACAAACAGTATACTGACTCAGAGCCGATCAGTCCTTGTTGTATAATTCGCCCCTTAATGTCGAGCGCCAGACAGGGTAACAAGAAGTACTATCTTTTGACGTCGTTTGGTATAACGCGGCCGAGGATCGAACCCCGGACCTTCCGCTCTCCGGGCGGACAATCTACCACTAGACCACGGATGCGGTCCTATCGCAGGAGTCATATGTAGGGATCGGGTGAAGTGATGTTGAAACAATCAGTTGCAAGTGTACCTGTCCCTCACTCACAGTGTG